AGATGAGGGTATAGCAATAATAATGAATAAAATATAACGACCAATAATCTAGTTATTGGCTGTATAATTTTTTGCTTTAAATTTAAGAAAGGGGCAAAATATGTATTTAGTAATTGCATAAATACATTTAAATACAAAATACACTTAGATTAAATAATTAATTACAAAATACAAGATACTTTGATTATTCGGTATTTAAGTACTGTATTTAAATAAGATACGTATCTAAATACGTATCTCAGTTACTTACAGATACATATCTGCCCAACCCTGCTACCTACCTACCTACACCGTTAGAAAAATATTATATCTAGTACTTGAAACTATAATTGCATAGTAAAATAATCAGTCAGGAATATCATTTTTATAGTCATTATTACTGTAATATTAGTAATAGCAACAATATAGACACAGTGACGCCAACTATTCAAAAAATTTACTATGAAATATAAATAATAAATCAAATTTACTGTAATATATAAAATGTAACATTTACCAAGTAAAGCTTATGCCAGTTGGGTCGACTAAACATTCCAACCCATACAGCAAATACCAAAGCTTTCAGAAACATTTCAGAAAACATTGTTGCAATGTTGCAATGTTTCTGAAAGCTTCGGTGCTGTTTGGGAAAGATTGTTAACTATAATTTACTGGCGACATCAATCTCTTACCTTCGTCATAAAGTAGCATAAACTTTTAACGATTATTCTGTTAAAATATCCAGGTAATGAATAGTAAATTGGTTAATTATTTTTATATAGTAAATACAATCACAATATTCTTAAATTAAAACAATCACAATAGTAGTAGATAGATACACTTTATTGATTCCCCTTAGGGTTACAAGGCGTTTTTGAAGGAATGTGCCCAAACCTCTTATAACACCTCTCTCTATATCCACATCTACCTTACTAATCACGTGGTAAACGAAAGTGAGTTGTTACCTGCACTAATCGCATGGTAAAAACAAGGAGACCAATTATTTTCAGGTATTGAAGGGGGTATCGGATGAGCCGCAAGCAGGATCAGACCCAGATAGCCAAACGTGCTGAAGCATAGAAGTGGCAAACTTCGTCGGATTTATTTGTCGTTTCTATGCCGTATTTAGTGCAACACGTGTTGCATATAAAAATTTATATATTTCAAAACCATGAATCTACTAATATACCTAATTTGTTCGTGTGTGTATATATATATGTATATATATACATATATATTAACATTGCTTTATTAATAATATTATTTTAACTTTTTATTAAAATTAAAGTTTTTCAGAGTATCCTTTATCAACATAAAGGATACTCTGAATTTATTTAAATTTAAGAATACAATAAAAGAATATGCACTATTTCTATATATTCATATAATCATTACTCCCATACATAAATCCGGCAAGGCTTGCTGATGTTGTAACGGCAAGTTGTGTCACAATGTGTTAGGCAAACCATGCTGTTCACGTGCACCAACGTGCACTTCATGTGCCGACTCAATTGTTGCAAATATGCCGACACGTCTATAAGCAGATAAGCAGAATAAGTAATTACACGTAAATGCGTTATGTTGGCATAATGCAGACAATTTGCTATCTGGGGATAGGTATAAGGATCGTCCATAGGTTTGGAACGGACATAAGAAATGTCGACGGTTACAGTTTAAACTGTCGGCGGTTACAGTTTGAACGGAGGACGAATCTCTGTTTTCAAGGAGCTCGCTCGCCATTGGACGAAAGCGAGAGTCCCAACGCGCATGTCAAGCACATGTCTTCCGTTTCGCGCCTAAAACTGCTGGCGTGTGTACGAAATACACAAGCGGCGCACATCGGTCTCTCAGCATCAGCTTTTCGTTCCGATTGATATGGATCCGGGTGGGAAGCTACTGTCGGGAAGCGGTTATCCTTTTCAGAAAATGCCAGCCAGGGAAGTGCGACGCAAGCTGCACGTTATTAAGCGCAGTAAGTTAACCGTTCCCTTCGATGATCTAACCATTCCCGTGCCCGCGAACAGTACGTTGTCAGCTTTTCTCGTATAATATTGATATGTTGTAACACGAGATTTTACAGTCACAAAGTAATTCGCAATAAAATGATGGTTCTGCTAGTCTAATATCTTGTTGACGTTTCGAACATTATGCATTTTGTATCTACTTAAATAACGCAACTAGCCAGTTGGGTTGACTATAAGTTCCCGTTATAATTATGCATTTAATTATCACTTTACATCAAATGTAACTATGAGTCATTATCAAGTACGAAGGGAGAGATTGGGGATTAACATCGCTGTTTGCGTTAGATGGGCGTAAGGAGGACGTTCATTTTGACAAAATTACTTCAAGGATTGCCAAGCAGTGCTATAACTTGGATATGAATTATGTGGATCCAGTGAGTATCTTTTTCTTCAATTCGTTACGCAAATTTGTCACATGATGTTGTAGAATGGGGGTACGTAAGTGATGGTATCTTCAAAAGAAGTTTTATAGTGAATTCTATCCCTCGCGTGTGTAAAATTATATCTATTTAAATGGATAGAAATTGCTGCAGGTAAAACTTGACAAATTCAGCAAATGCCAATTTGTATAATATTTATCGTAGTCTGCTGTGGCGATTCAAGTAATACGCGGTTTGTATTCCGGAGTAACTACGGTTAAACTTGATAATCTTGCGGCGGAAACTGCAGCCACGATGGCAACCAATCATCCTGACTATGCTATACTGGCAGCAAGAATTGACGTGTCTAACCTGCACAAGGAAACCAAGAAGAGTTTCAGTGGTACAGCACCTTGTGTTTATTTACTTCAGTTATTTTCCGTGTCAGAAAATACTTAGTCGATTGTAAATGTTCAATCGATATTAGATTTATGGAATTAGAATCAATAACTTAATTCTTGTGCTCCACAGAGGTCATGCATGACTTATATTACGCCAAGAATCCCGTCACGTACGAACATATTCCTATAATCAGCGAGCATTATTACAATATAATTAAGAATAACGCAGAAAAATTGGACTCTGCTATAATATACGATCGAGATTTCAACTACAATTATATTGGTTTTAAAACGCTCGAGAGAAGCTATCTGTTGAAGATCAATGGCAAGATAGCGGAGCGGCCTCAACATATGTTGATGAGAGTGGCTGTTGGCATTCACGAGAACGACATCGACAGGGCCATAGAAACATACAATTATTTGTCTGAACGTTATTTCACACATGCTTCACCAACGCTGTTCAACGCCTGCACCAACAACCAGCAGATGTCCAGGTAATCCCAAAAGAATTTAATCAGCCTAATAATATTGAGCATTGTTGTTTTAATAAGAATGACTTTCTTGCAGCTGCTTCCTCCTAACGCTCGAAGACGACAGTATAAAGGGTATTTACAGCACGCTGAAAAAGTGCTCGCTCATTAGCAAGTACGCTGGAGGAATTGGACTCAATGTACATTGCATTCGTGCTAAGAGCGAAGAAGATACTACTGCAACTAACGGCTTGGTTCCGATTCTGAAGCTATTTAACGAAATAGCTATTTACGTTGATCAAGGAGGAAACAAAAGACCAGGAGCGTTCGCCATCTATTTGGAGCCGTGGCATGCCGACATCTTTGACTTCTTGGAACTTAAAAGGAACATTGGTAATTATTTTTTTATTAATTTTTTTTCTTATGCAGAAGTGTAGATCAATGGACGAATATATTTTATTGTGGTTTCTAATGCATCGTACACTTTTAAACAGGTGATGGAAATATGCGTGCCCGAGACTTGTTTTATGGCCTCTGGATACCGGATCTTTTTATGAAACGTATGCATAATGACGAGATGTGGAGTTTGATGTGTCCATACGAATCTCCCGGCTTGGCCGATGTTTGGGGCGAGGAATTTGAAACACTGTATACTAAGTGAGCATTAGTAGTTTATTCCTTTAATTATTAATTATTATATATTTAACGTTCTTGTAACTTATATTTCTCACGCGCAAACTTTTGCAAAGTGCACAAATTTATGTGGAACACTTTCAGATATGAAAAGGAAGGACGCTACAGGAAACAAGTGGAAGCCAGAGCCATATGGCACGCCATTCTCAGATCCCAAGTGGAAACTGGAACGCCTTATATGCTTTACAAAGACCACTGTAATCGAAAATCGAATCATCAGCACGTAGGCACTATCAAATGCAGCAATTTGTGCACCGAGGTTATTCAATATTCCGGTCCCGGAGAGGTCGCCGTATGCAATTTAGCGTCTATCGCTGTCAACATGTTCGTCAACGCAGACGCCAAAACTTTCGATTTTGATAAACTTAAGACAGTCGCAAAAATCGTCACCCGCAATCTAGATAAAGTCATCGACGTAAATTTCTATCCTATCCAAGAGACGAAAACATCTAATCAAAGACACAGACCTATTGGTGAGATGTTCAGTCAGTTGAGTTTGCCATTAGCATAATTAATTATTATACGGTAAAATTATGTGTCTTAGGTATCGGGATACAAGGTTTGGCAGATGCATTCCTACTAATGCGATATCCTTTCGAGAGCAAAGAAGCGAAGGAACTCAATATAAAAATCTTCGAAACACTTTATTACGGCGCCTTGGAAGCTAGTTGCGAATTAGCTGAGCAAAAGGGCACTTATGAAACGTATCCAGGTAGTCCAGTCAGCAAAGGCGTAAGTATTTTAATCGCAAAAGACATCCCGTCTGTATTACAATTGTATAATAATCTTGTTCTTCCAGATCCTCCAATACGACATGTGGAACGTTAAGCCGACAGATTTATGGGATTGGGACGAATTGAAGAAGAAAATCGCAAAGCACGGAGTAAGAAATTCTCTTTTAATAGCGCCTATGCCAACAGCCTCGACGGCACAGATTTTAGGGAATAACGAGTCCATTGAACCCTACACGACTAATATCTACGTGAGACGCGTATTGTCTGGAGAATTTGTCATTGTCAATCCCCACCTATTGCGAGACTTGACCGCCAGAGCTTTATGGGACGAGGATATGCAAAACGAGATACTCGCGAATTTTGGATCTGTGCAAGTAAAAATGCCTTTAAATATCTTAAACGTTCTTGTCGCTCGAGTTATTTTAATATGATTCTAAAGTAGTGTATACGTGGACACTTTGCAGAACATCAAGCGTATTCCCGATGATTTGAAAGAGCTTTATAAAACTGTATGGGAAATATCGCAGAAAGTGATTCTCCAAATGGCTATTGATCGAGGAGCTTTTATCGATCAATCGCAATCCCTCAACGTTCACATAGGAGATCCGACGACTGAGAAGCTCTCGTCGATGCATAACTTCGGTTGGGAAAACGTAAGCGGAATTTCTTTTCAATTTGTCATTTGTAATATTATTTGAGTGACAATTTCCTTCGAATTTTGCCGTCTTTTTGTCATTACGCAAAACGAAGAATCTAATGTAATCGTTCCTCACAAAAATATGTTGCCGCTTACAGGGCCTAAAGACTGGCATGTACTACCTGCGAACAAAGCCAGCCGCAAATCCTATACAATTCACAGTGGACCAGTCAAAACTACAAAGTCGCGATTCCTTGATGAATGACTCCAATAATAGCATATCTAGTGTCGACAGCACTCTGGTTTTGGTGTCCAAAATGGATGTCAGCGACGATAACAGTGGTGAAAAGCAAAAATTAAGTCAGCAAGCAAGTAATAATTTGAAAGCGATGCTTGCTTGCTCGCGTATCAATGGGGAGAATTGCACGTCGTGCAGCTCCTGAGTATTTACTACTTTTAAGCCTAATCTCTTGTGTCTCGAATATGTAAGCTGTTTTCTATCTTTGTAAATTGTATGAATTATTTTTATTCATGTAAATTGTAAACAAAAACGTAGTTTCGATACATATATTCTAAATTATATTTTGTAATGGATAAAAGATGTTTTGATAAACACGTAATATTTTTAAAAAATTAGTAAAATTAAATAAGATTTTAATTATAAAATTTACGATTATAGAAATTAGCAAATCTGAACAATGTTTTTTTGCATAAAAGCGTTAGTTTTCCTAGAAAATATTTAGAAAACTTGGTAAACTTTGTACTTAAAGATAAACATAAGAAATACATATTTTTAAAGGTGTGTATAAAGTGTTGCCGAAGTAACGTTTCTTTTTAGGAAAACTCGAGTTTTAATCGGATTACATTTCTGTCAAACCTTTGTCAATACAGAAAGGAGGTAACTCGAAAGGGTGAGTCGTCCTCTGCACAGACCATGGACGTAGAAAATATCTGGACGGAGCGTAAAGTACTTGGGCCGGTATTCGTAGTCCGTCCTTATATTATATTTAAGATCATCTTAAGTATACTCTTGTGGCCGTGTCGATCCAGTGATTGGATCGGGAGCCAACAATCAGACCAACAACAAGTATACTCTTAATGTGTTTTCAACCAATCACAGAGCCGTATTAGCGTCTTAAGATAACACTTAAGATGAATTTGAAATAAGAATCGACTATGAATACCGGCCTTAGTCCCAGTCTACAATAGATGATTTAAGCCTTAAGAAATTGACCAATCACGGTCAAATATGAGTAGAATACGCGACTGTGATTAGTCAATTTTTTAAGGCTTAGGGTTTAAATCCCTATTGTAGACTGGCACTATGTGTAACGTCGTATGAAAGGCCAATTGTCCACGATGCTAGAACTTTGTCCAAGTTCTAATTTCGAGAAATCTGTAGCGAATCAACGTGCAGCTATTCCATAAAAGCTGCAAGTTAATTGGCTACACGTTTCTCGAAACTAGAACTTGGACCAAGTTCTAGCATTGTGGACATTGGCCTTAAGGGCCGTAACAGTAAACGAATTGACCAATCATAATCGAGAATTATAATATGGCTGCCATAGTTTTCGATTATAATTGGTCAATTGGTTTACTGCTTACGTCTTATTGCTCCAGGCCGTTTGTCTGCCACGGTTCTAATTGGGCTACGTTCAGAAACACCACCCGAGTATCCCAGCGTATCATTCTATCCTTGTTTCTTACCGTGTGTTGAACAAGGATAGAACGATTCGCTGGAGCACTCGGGTGGTGTTTCTGAACGCAGCCTTGGAGGTAACTAGGTAAGTCCGATATACGCCAAAGCTTGCGCGCTAATCTACGTTTACGCTTACATCTTTGTCGTAAGCCTATTATGCGTGGTCTACAATACGTGGAGTAAGGAGTAAGGGAGAGCCCTAACTTCTAGCTTTTGGTGTAAGGAAGCTGAAATACGGGCATGATTTTTAAAATAATTGTAACACTGATTGATGGCATTTTGATTCACCGAGAGTAAGCCTAAGAGCTGAAGTAAGAGTGAGAAATAAAATGGATTTATTTCCTTACTCCTACTCCTTACTCCAGCTTACTCCATGTATTGTAGACCAGCCTTTACGTTTCTTTGTGCTCCGACCCTTGGGGATTTAAATGGACTACCCCCGCGGCATTATGCTCCGTCCAGGTATTCCTACGACCGTGTATATCGAATGTTACTAGATCGGGACGCGTGGCATCATTGCGCGACATCGGCGTCGAATGAGAGGGGGTGACTACGGAGACGACGCAGAACCATATTTATTTTGGTTTGGAAATTAGTCCGCAGGAGCCGTGTGCGTGTGCACGCGTATGAGTGTGTGTGTGCCTGTGTGTGTGCGTGCGTGTGTGTGTGTGCGGAGTGCGCGTATCGTCGGGCCGTGCGTTTCGCACCGATTCGGGTGGTCGAATTTCAAAGTGCTTGCTTATCGGAGATCAAGAACTGAGAAAAAAAAATGACCCGTAAGTTCTCCAGCCGAGCGTCGCCGAGGTCGGGTCGTTTCCTGATCGCGTCGCGACAACTCGACGAGAGAGAGAGAGAGAGAGAGAGAGAGAGTGAGGAAAAGAAAGACGGGCACAACGATGGGAGAGTTTGGCAGGCCGTAAAAAGTTCCGCGGCTGCCATTTGTCGTTAACGTTGAAAATAAGGTCGCCGCGTTACAATCGCGGGTGACCGACGGGTGCTCTCACAGCGATTTGTCGCACGCGCGGACAAACGGTCCCGGCAGCGCGGGTCGCGAAACGTCGGCGACTCGTCGAGGAAGAAAGGAGCACACCGCCGATGCCGCGGCAGACGATGCGCTCCGAGTATCCTCGACAACTCTCGTTCTGCAGGCTGTTTCCGAAGGAAAGGTCAATATTTTTGGATCATGACGATAGCGCGAATAAAGGGAAGAAAAGAGTCTGTCCCGCGCGAGTCTCGACCATTTCGCGGGGATCGGGAGACACTCGCGTGTCTTTGACAGGCGAAGGGGCAGCGGAACTGTCGAATCTACGCTCGGCGGAGCGGCCTCGCTTCTCGGAGATACGCGACGGCTCTCTCGATTTCTTTGAGAAAACCCCCGCTCCTAACCTAGATAGCCACGCGGAACCGTCATGGCGGCTCTCGCGCTCTCGCGCCGCGAGGTCGGGACGTCTCGCCTACGTCCGCGACGAACCTCGCCCAATTTCACAGCGTTCGATTTCGGAGCAGTAAATGTGGTGGGAAATGGACTTTGTGGCGTAGCTGCGTCGCATCTCGCTCGCCGCCATTTTGTGCGAGCGTGATGTCGTTTCGACGAGGAACGACGCGGACAAAGATCGCGAGCGGTTGAATCGTGAGTCGAGTCGCCTCCTTTCGCGCTCGCCCTTTGATTAATCACGAACGTAACGTCCAGGGGTTGCGCCCGCGCGCCAACATTTTACCATTTTTGTGCCTGTTCGACTCGAGAGAACGCGAATTTGACTTTCGTGCGCGCGCATGCGCAGACAGGTGGCGCGCTTTTCGAGTGAACGGGGAACGGAAATGCAGAGAGAAAAACACGGACCGAAAAGTTGCGGGCTGAAATGAAGCAATAATTTATGTTAAAAATTAAAAGGCCGATGCTTCCTCAAGGGAAACGTTAACTATGTTGCAGGTGGAAATCAACGTGAGCTAGCACGAGCCAAGAATTTGAAGAAAACCGTGAAGAAGGCAGCGGCCGAACAAGACAGCAATAAAGGACTTTCCTTGGAACAACGTAAAGCACGGTAAACCTTCGGAGTTTCCTCCTTTTCCACTCGAGAGTACAGAAATAGATGTTTTTTCTTTGTACGCAGCAATATCTGGACGTACGTTTCTTCTTACAGCGACGCGGAACGAATGAGAGAAAAGCAGCAGCAGAAGAAGCCGCAAGGTGAACAAGGGGACAAGTCTAAGCAGGCGGCGAGATAATTAAGCGCGGAGAAAGTGTATGAGTTTTCACGACGAGAAACGGCTATACCGCATCCAATGGCTACGCTAAAAGGATCTGCGTTTATGAGGAGCACAGGGGTCGATGCTTATATTGGGGACGGAAAGAGTAATCACCATATTTTCAATGTTAGAGAATTTTTCCATTGTCGGCCGTACGCAGGTGTGTCGACCATATGACATGCTTCAGGACCTAGCCTCGATTATCTTGTTATTTACACGTTGCTCACGGAAACAGTTATAATCAGTGTGTACAAAACTTGACGTTACCTACACCTAAATTCAGTCAAAGGGAACACGCGTTTGACTGGTTTCTCTAGGTATAAGGATATTAAATAATACGAGATATATTTGTAGTACTAATTTCCAATCTGTAAATTCTCTCTCAGACTTTCACTTATTTAATATGTTGTGTAATTAAATGTGTGACAAGCGGACGAGCATTAGACACGCATGTGCTACTATCGTTCCCTCTCGCTTGTAATAAACTGTTCAAATTTTAACGAAGAAAAAAAAAGTATGCACTCAGACCCTTTCGTCCTGTCCCGAGCGCTGCAGTGTCGCTTTACCGCGACACACCATAGCAATTGTTTTATAACAGTTCGATTAATGATTCTACTATTAAAGATACAAATTATTAAACGGTGACAGAGAGAAAATGTAGATTATACAATTATTTCCCACATTTTTATTGCACTTTCCCAAAAAGAGTACACTTTCTTAACGTTACTAATTTTAATCGCGATTTCATAACTTCGCTTTAATCACAAATATTCGTGGATATTAACATTGAGTCGAATGAGAAATGGTGTACGATGTGATTCGATAAATGTCACAGCGGTGGAAGACCGAACCTTAGTCGCTAATATGAGGGGGGAAAGAAAAAAAAAGGAATGTACACTATATGCTAAATGACGAACGTATTGTCTAGCCTCTAAAGACCAAAACCCTCGTGAAAGTAGCATTCTCTGCGATTTGCAAAAACGCCCAAATTGAATTCTTTTATCTCGAGTGGCTGTTGTATTTCGGATTCACTAGGCTGTACTTTTCCGCGTTCTATAACACACCTATAAGCAGGAACGTTCCACTCGTTTTTTTTCTTTCTTTTTTTTCCGTTTGACTCCCAAGTTTATAATATGCGAGGAACAGCGCGCTATATTGAGCATTTACTTAATTATAATAATACGCTACTAGTATGGAATAGTTGATTCGAAGAATTTACATGTGAATACTTTAATGTTATACGTACATGTGACGTCGGGAATCCGTATAACGTAAAAAATTATCGATTCCAAATGTATTCGGCTATTGAGTAAAACTAATACACGCACGCGCGTGTTGGCGTAGATTATATATTTTATATAAAATAGAGACACGCGTTGCCGATTTCTTTTCACCCACACAATTAGCTTTACAATGTAGTCAATTTATTTCGCGCGTTTTTATTAATGACTTAATAAGTTAATAAGTTCTTTCTTGCAAGTAAAAAATTTATATTAAAATATATGGTCCTGCGTATTAATTTATCTCCGTCAAATTCACAACTGAATTTAAAAAAAAACAAGTGCTCGATGCTTTTATTGAGAATTCAGTTATCTTCGGTATAAAGTTTAATTAACTTATTAAACTCGCCATTATTTAAATTGGGTTTTGACTGAACCTTAGAATAGTGTCTCTCGTGATGCCTTAATAATAATATAATTATCTAAAAATGGGCGGCAAGATGTTGCTTCTATTTTCTTCGTCTTTCTGTTAAATGGTCAATGTTTTTACAAGGTTCTCACCGTATACACATGCAATTTTTATAGTAATATCGTAATATATCGTACAGTAAATATTATCTTATATATCTATTTCGATGATGCAACGTTTCTTTTTGCATTTGAACAAATATAATCGGTATGCGATATTTTCGGGACAATAATTTCGACAATTCTGAAGGAAGATTACGTGTAAAGTTGCATTGCGGAAAAATGCCTGATTGAGCTTATCTCGTTTACGTATGTGTGTATGTGTGTGTATCTGTTGAGACTTATCATTACAACACTATTTTGTAACAATAGCACCATATTTGTATTGTTCATAGGTAAATTATATATTATAGATTGAACAAACTCACGCACACGTAGCATGTTGTTTATCCATATTTTTTAAAAAATTATATAAAATCGATTCTCCTATACTAAATTATTATAAAATTGCAAAAAAATTCCTTTCTTCTTAAATAAATCTAATCCGATTATTTTCCGTTAGCATCCCTTTATCTCGCATTATAATTAATTATATATATATATTTAATTAAATTATAAAAATGTTTTGTACTTCAGAATTATTTTCCGTTTAGTACGCAATAGGAAAGGTGTTGAAATCTCATTAACTTCTTATGATTATATATATATACGGAGATCCTGAAAATCTATTAAAATTTGCATAAGCCAATTTAGCACAAGATTTAAAAAATGCATTAGAAAAATGAAAACATTTCAAATCTAACAATTTATAACACGTAATGAATTTAAACGAACAAAACATCTAACGATAAGCCAGACTCCATGCTCTCGTGAAGATAATTAAGTATAGTGCCTTCAAACATTTTTAAAAAGTGAATATATATATATATATATAAAGTTTATCGAGAATATTTTTATTACAGCTGATATAACACAAAATACGTTTCAAGTGTATTTGCCGCTATTTAATTTCAGATATACATCTTGCAGCAAGTAAACTAGATCGACTCGTCGTTTGTTAAAACGAACGATTAATTACGTCATAATAAAAATTCTGTAGGGAAAATTTTGCCGTGTGTAAATTTAACAAAACCACTTACATACCTAATATCAATCTACACCTATAAACAATATATTGCGTGCTAATACCTAAACGGGATGAGTCAAAAGTACGAAACAGGACATATATTTGTTTTTCGATTTCCACTTATACATGGAATGTATACATATTGGTGACGGATCGAGTGAACTTTAAATCACCCGTTTTTTAGGATAGACATCTTCAAGTCTAAACAAATAAAAATCTAACAAAGGGATCCTATTCTATTTCATGTAATACTTATGCGGGAACCTCCCTGCAATTTTTCAATATCTTTGACCAAGGGAAAATAAATATTGCAAATGAAAGGACGATCTCGCCTTCAGATAATGTAATTGACTCATCGATAAATCCTATGTATCGGATTGTTATTTGGACGGCGGAAAACAAAGAGAGATAGATCGATTAATCTCTCACGTTCGCGTACTCGATTGGCCGTTTTGGATTACTTTAGCTTTTCACGATCATTCTTATCGTACAGCACGGACGAAGCACAAAGATAAAAATAAATGGAATGGAGGAAGACAGATTCTTCGATAAAATTAACTAGTCACTTGCCTTTACTACACAGGTCATCGCTTCCTCGATGGACACGAAAACAAAAGGTACATTCTCTCCACCGCGAGATGTTGCGGATCTCGAATCCTTCGAGGAAACGACTGGTCGGAGGGGCGGGAAGCGAAGAGATTCCGGGGGCTCGCACAAACTTCACCTCGGGTTTAAAGATTCCTAAAGATTCAGAGAACATATCGTGCAGGTCTGGGCAACGCAATGCGAGTGCAGATGCGACGAGTGCGATGGATGCGACGGCGGGGGCGGCGGAGGTGGCGGCGGCGGCGGCGGGGGTGGCGGCGGGGGCGGCATGTAAAGCCACCCCGTGCCCGTTGGCCAGACCGCGGATGATGCCGAGGACGTCGGGAGCAGCGAATTGGTACCGCCTACGGCATTGACGTGCGACGTCGGTCCACTCTCTACTCACATCACCTGGCACACAAATCGACGGAACGCATAAATACGTTTGTCGAATACAGCTACGCTGGCTGTAATATTGCATGTTACAATTTAATACATTCAGGCAGGACGAGTGCATTCGACTGTACTAGAATCTCCGTAGTTTCAATGGTTTCTTCCGTCGTGTCAATTCCGAACGTACGTTCACGTCAATCTCTACACGTGCGCAAACCCGAGGAAAATTATAATTTCGCAAGCATTTTTATCAGAGCGACGAATAAATATTGCGACATTTGCAACTCGCATTCCGCTATTTATACTTTGTGTGGAATTAATATAGCCTGCGTCGTCAGATCGTACAGAGTGTTCCACGAGAAACGTGCAACTCTATGCCTGCGGATATAAATTCCAGCATTAAAAAGTTAAAAACATATAAAAAAAAGAACCAATAAAGGAAAGTCACAAATTATTTATCTACTCTAAAGTATCTAATAATATTTAACTGGCAATAAGAGTGATTTAATCATATTGATAAGTAGCTATTTTAATAATAAATCACTTTGTGAAAATATATTCGCTCGCTCCGCCGTAAGGGTTTAATATTTGCCTCGCGAATTGAAATCGTGAAAAAGCGTAAAGTTCTTTGCGAACGAATGATAGTCTACAGGAATGCAAAAAAGACGCTAGCCCAATTATTCAGTCATTTCCTATTCGTAGCTATTCCGCGCAGTGTACGGCGTAACGAGTGGTTTCACGAATGATCGCAATTACGGGTAATAGCGTAAGATTTCAGGTAAGAGTATGACGACTCGAGTTACACTGCGAGTCTGGTTTCGTCACGTAATTAATTGCGAGCGCGCCTGACGTCTACCTTCGGACAATCAATAAAATCTCGTAGGCTGAGTATTACAAATGCTGGAATATCAATGCAAGAATGTTACAGAATTATCAAGGTAGCAAGAGTATATCGGCGTAAGATCGATACCGACCTTCGGAGATTGATCGTAAGATTCAAGCGCAGCATTGTAGTATCGATATCTCGACTTTTTGCTCTGTACGCGATACGCGTAGACTTGATTCGACGTATTACAACTCTATAAATGGAAAAAAAAATTAATAAAAAAAATTATTACGACAATACAGCTGCGCATCTATCAGGCAGGCACGATTTCGCGTTACCGCTCGGCGAGGATGGAGTCAGGGGTGTAACACACCTGTAATATCTGGCTCGCCTCGAAGGCCGTCCCTGGCAATAGTATTACCGGACTACTGACGTGACCGCTCTCGACGCATATCATGTTGGGAAATTCGTCGTCGCCGAAGTCCGGGATGTCGCGCGCCTTCTCCTGCCAGGGATTCCAGACCACCGTGTCGGGAAAGTTGTACTTCTGCACGCGCATCTTCCTACCGGAAACGACGTTCGTGATGATATGCTCCGGCTGCGTGTTCTGGTAGATCCGGTCGGTCCATTCGCACACCGTGACGACGTCGCGGCCTTCTTGGAAGATTTGGTTGTCCCTAGTCTGCACGCGTGAATGAAGCAAACTTGTGAGGCGGGATTGCGTGCGATTGCGGACGCTGCGGACTTAACGGAGCGCACCGCTCCAGGCCGACGCTTTAATGACTCGTCTTTAAATGTAATGACACAACTCTTTGCGCGAGTTTTCAAGTCGACTCTCCATTGGTAACGAGTTATTGATAGCCAGCCGCTTAGGATTGAACATAAGCGACTTTTCTTCGCGAGCCTGGTTATCGTAGCGAAATTTTCAGTCAAGGTTCCAATTTACATTTTTCTAATTCTCAACTTACACAATTTTAGCTATTCCATAAAAGCAGCAAGTTCATTGGCTACGCATTTCTCGAAACTAGAACTTGGGCCAAGTCCTAGCATCGTGGACGCAGGCCTTGACAAGATTCTAAAGATTGAGTGACAACGGTGTGATTTGTCGGAAAAGGGTTTTCGTTACCTTGTCGACGAACGTGCATCCGTGCAGCCCCGTGATTTGGCATCTCCTGACATCGGGTACCTTGAAATAAGTGTGTAGAAGCAGATTGAAGCTGAAGGTGTCCTCTCTGCTAGGGTTGTACACGCCGATATTAAAATGCAACTCCTTCTCGCGCAGTATTAGCCTGTACGTTAGCCTGAACTGTGAATTCCACAGCGACCGCGTGAACTCGCTGTCCATTATCGAGAATATTGCCTCGATGTCCCCGCTGGGCAATCGCTCCGGCGACTTCTCCACGTTCCAACGAATGATCCTGGCGAAGCCGTGGGGTGGCCCGAACGTCCATGCTCCGAATTGTGCTGCGGAGATTAACGCACATCGTATCGGACCATGTCAACATTCCTAACAGCACGCACATAATAATCCGTACATCCATAGACTGTACTAGTTGTAGGAACGTTCCTCCTTCTCTTTACATTCTTGCGAGACGCGATTCGGACTTTCGTACGAGAACTCCATCGGGGCTTCTCGTTTGACTAATTTACGAGGACCGTGCAGAATTTTACGATCGCATATTCTGTTGAAGATAAAGCGGGCTTGCGTCGGTGTACAACTAATATTCTTATAATAATGCGTATGCGATGTCTCCCGAATATTCTTAGAACGTGTACAGAGAGGGACTCGATGGTTGCGACACTTTTCTTTAATGAGTTTAAGAACACGCATTTAGATTCAGGTTTGTGTTCCCGAACATTTTCAACGAGAAAAATTTTACTCGAGAAATAGATCGGAAACGCTTAAAATGGTCTCGGGATGACCATCCAGTAAAATATGCCTCGAAGAAGATCTTGGAATGTAACCCTGAATTTAAATGCACGTTCCTAAACTCAGTAAAAAAAAAAACAATGTCAACCATTCTGTCCACCATACGTTGCTGTGTCCTTACATTGGACTCTCAAAAGGCCTTTCAGAGCTGGCTCTCTTTATAAGTAATTTGGATTCACATGCGTAACATTAAGCTATTAGTCGCGTCAACCCTTTCAACCCGAGTAAATTATTTTTCGTCTATTGTTTTTTTTTTAATGGAACATTAGCATACCGAAAAACCAGAGAAGCAAAAGATGCAAGTGAGACTTTTATACTCCAGTGGTCATGAAAGGATTAAACTTTGCTCAAATAATTTTTTAAATTCTTTTCTATGCAGTTATAAATACGCTTCGTCTATTATACTTACGGAAAACGAACGGTATGCCGCCTCTGATCGCTTTCTTGCCGTCGAACACAGCTTGCTTACTGCAACAAACGAAGATTCAATCACTGGAGACATAGAGAGAGAGAGAGAGAGAGAGAGGGAGAGAAAATTGATGATGCTTGTGTATTTCTAAGAGTACTTATTTATTTTAATGGCTCATCTAACCATTTTATAATTTTAGCACGTTTGCGCGCACAGTACGTTCTCCGTATAGTTATTTCTCATTATTTAACGAGACAAATATCTTGTGGAAAATCGAAGAAAATGTATTATTTTAAAAACGACGCGAGAATTTACTTGTTCGCGCGTTGTGTTTTTACGCCCGAATGCTTCCAAAAGCGCAGCTATTATTATTATTCCCTCCCCGTAACAAAAAAAAACCCCCCGAAGAATGTACGATATTGTCGATAACATCGAAAAATATACGAATATCTCTCCCTTCTGTTGCTCGCTGCTATTGCTCGTTGTTATTGTAAATTGCGCCCGTATCAGATGTCAGATTAATGAAACCGTCCGTAGGCGCGTGCATAGGTGATACATAGGTGTAAATGTTTGTTGAACGAGCTAACGATTTGTTACCGAGTGCCAGCGGAGATCTAACACCAGGCCGCCTAATAAAAGGGGTCTGTTTAACGCGATGTTCAGTGAAGTTTTCCATTATAAAAATTTCAGAGACGTACATCACGTTAAAGGTGGAAAGCAGCGACGCTATGAAGACACGTCGAATAAGTAATTCACGTTCACTCCTTTTGCGCTCTTTACATTCTTGCAAGGCGCGGTTCGGGCTTTCGCACGAGAACTCCATCGGAGCTTCTCGTTTAACTAATTTACGAGGACCGTGCAGAATTTTACGATCGCGTATGCTGTCGAGGATAGAGCGGGCTCACCGTCGGTGTATAAATAATAATACGAAATACTGCGGGGCGGTTTCATAAAGTTTGACGACAAATGGGGAATCAATATTCGTTTCGCGATTAATCTTGCAGGGTGATCATGATTCCGCCTCGCAAACTCTGCAGGTCGACAACAAAATAGCGATTATTAACGCCCGGTATAAGTTATCGCGTCCCGGTGACTCGGAGATGTATCGACGCTGACACGTACGGATACACCTTTCCGAGCTTTCGTCACTCTCGCCTGAAGTTCCCGGGAAGGGAGAGACAATACAGGTCGATAAGCAATGCCCGGCTCACAAGCTGAATTTTTCTACAGGGAAAATAGTTTTGCAGCTAGCTGCATCGTTTGAGCTGAAGTTGAAAGTGAATCTCCGAAGGTCGGTGGAACCAAGTTACTGCCCTCTCGTAAAAGAAAAAAAAAACAAGGAGGGGGGAAGATCGATCTTTTATTCTTCGTCGTTTTGTTCCGTCGGCGTTTCTTTTTTAACGATCATTTCGCGGATGAATGAATAATTACGGTGTCTCACTGTATAACACAGTTAAATACCTAATTTGTAGAGCTGACGAGAAAGAATCCCCGTGAATTCGTTTCGCCGTATACAGGGTTGGTACAGTTAAAAGAGGGACGGGAGAAAAATCCTCTTATTTAAGCAACAGACAATTAGGCTCCTCTTTTGCACAGGTGCGTAATTATCTTAACAGCCAGCGTCTGTAATAACGCCGAGATATTTCTTCTCGGTATATTGCAACAATTTAAAAATACCCGCACGTAAGATGTGTGGAGCCACGGTGCCTAATCACAATATCTGTCTCATAGCGCGTTATTCAGGACCGTGATTGAGACAAGATGTTTACGGGACACCCGAATTGGAAAAATAATTTCGCGTAAATTGGCAAAAAGTTTTTTTCAGAACGTCGAGACACTCGTACGATTCTTTGCCGATTCTTCGAGTGTTTCGGGCAAGTTGGGGAACTCGTTGATCCCTTTCGTTAGCGAACTAGAATGCTCTCGAAGCGGTTGATATCCCCCGATGCTACGAAGTGGAGAGAGAGAGACGGAGATGTCGCGTTGCGTGAGCATCGCGGAGAGAGAGAGAGAGGGGGGAGGGGGGGGAGAGAGAGACAGAGAGAAAGAGACGGAGAAGTATAAAGCCGGAGGGCGGATGCAGGATGACCATTAGTCAAGCCTGTCAGGGGCCGCGGAGATGCTCCTAAGAAGGAGCTTGAGGATACACTCGGGATCTAAGACTGCGAGAGGAGAACGCGCGAAATCGAAACGTATCGATACTTGGACCGTGCTTCTTCAGCTGCGAGAAACCGCGTCATTTTCGATTGAAATTCTTGCCAGACCACTCTCGCGCGTACATCTAAGAAATTCGCGTAATACGAAAGCAGATAGCGAGCATTTGTATCGGTATCCTGTGCGCGAACCTCGATGAAAAGTCCCAATATGCGCCGAATTGCCCAACCGGCTCGACGGCTGAGCAAGACAATTAGAGCCATCGAGCGATCGAACTGAATCCCACTTGGCGTCGATCGGAAACGATACCCCGGATTGTTTCCGATATCGCCCTACGCGCGCCAGTCAATCCTGACAGCCGATGATGAAGTTAATGACGAAATCTCGATTCCAGAAGCACGCGCTCTCGTTACCGGACGCCGCTATTCCTATTCTCTCGCGGCGATACGGTGTAATCCATTTTCCTGGATGCGTAAACCGCGAAGAAGGAGGAGAAGGTAATCCCATCCGTTTGCGCGATCCCGAGGCGAACGGAACATGGGAACAGAGATGGAGAGATGGACAGATAGATGGATCGCGACAACCCGAGTGTCACAGTGATAGGAGAAAGACACAGGGAAGGCGGGAGAGCGCGAGAGAGAGAGAGAGAAAGAGGAGGGGGGGGGGAGGACAGAGACAGAGGGAACTTATGCCCGAGAGAGGACGAAGAGGGCAGGAGGGGGGCAAGAAGGGAGGATGAATGCGAGAGTGGGAGGACCAGGGGATGAGAGGAAGCGAGAGGGTAGAACGATGTACCACCACGAAGTACGACGACGCGGCGGTAGGAACGCGGCTGACGCCGAGCAAAAACGATCGGCGCTGTCTGCCATGCTTTTTGCGGGCATCACAGTTTCCAACCTCTCTCTCCTCCTGGTCGTTTCTAGCTGCTGGTATCTCCCGTTGCCGCTCGCTACGCCCGGCACCCAATTCTCAACGCGGTTACGCCCGGCATTCGCGGGATATCGTCGCGCCGCGCGAGTATACAGGGTGCTCGGTAATTGGCGGTGCGCGATAAGTTGATTTGTAAAAGAAACTTTTTCTCCAAGAGAGAGAGAGGGGGGGAGAGAGAGAGAGAGAGAGAGAGAGAGAGAGAGAGAGAGAGAGAGAGAGAGAGAGAGAGAGAGAGAGAGAGAGAGAGA